AAAGAAAGAAAGAAAGAAAGAAAGAAAGAAAGAAAGAAAGAAAGAAAGAAAGAAAGAAAGAAAGTAAGTTGCAGATAAAAGTTTGGTTTAAATAGGATAAATGTACCATGAGGATTTTTATTGCAACAGTTATTTAAATAAATTATTAAAATCTGCCTAATAGAAGCATTTTTTTAAAAAAAAGCTGTCCATACAATACTAAGCTGTTTTTCTAAATTTGAGAAATATGTTTCTGCCATCCTGAGTTTATTAGAACAAGGATAAGTTACATATGTAATTAATACCTATTTTCCAAGCTGCAAATTCTTTACCAATAAATCCAAATGATAGCAAATATCCAGTGTTTAGTACTCACTGATTACCATGTGCTTATAACAAAATAATATACAAATAGGGAAAATATCCCCACAGACTTCAGAATCTATTCTCTCCTGTTCCATATATTAAAATCAGAGAACTATTGTAATATAGAATACTTACTCTGGTTTGTACACAGGCAACCAGTAGACCAATCTTCCTCCAAGAACCAAATACTTTGCCGCAAATTTTAACAGGTCAAAGATTATGTCACTCAGCTGATAATTTGAAGAAACTAGGTTATGATTTTCAGTGCTAGGAGATATTTTGAAAAGTAAATAATAACAGTTATTGATACTTGGACATTTACAGTTCAGAACAAAACCTAAACATTAATTATCTCTCACAGGAATCGAAAAGTTTTCTCCTAGCCTTTAAAAATGCACTGATCTACTTGGTCTATTTAGTTTAATTAAGAATAAGTGTAAATGAAGTTTTTATATAAAGTTTGAATTTAAGAAAATATAAGGCACACTTTATAAGAAGAGCAAAATTGTAGCAGTAATAAGGATCTGGAAAGGCACATGGTTATTCAATTTTATAAACTTTGGTGGGAGATGTATTGGGACTTGAAAAGGTAAAGGATGCAAGATTATACTTGGTATAGATTTCAAACTATCGATTTCTGGTCAATACTTTAAAGCATAGCCTTATCGACATGCATAACACATGCCCAATATGGAATTGGCTTTACAAACTCAATTATATATAGGAGTTTGGATGAAGCAGAAGACAGATTTTGCTTTGAACCCCAAATAATCAATTATATTGCAAAAGTTCAGCCAAACTACTTCAGATCAGCCATGGTTTGGCAAAAGAAAACCCATGTTTTTGAGTCTTTGCCAAAATAAAACCCACAGTATCCCAGAATGATTTAATAGGCTGAATATGGGAAAAGTGGAGTGCATCTCCCCCTCCCCTTTCTCCAAGTGGCCTTTATGCTTGTTTGATCCTCTTCCACAAGCTACTGCTGTTGTCTCAGCGTGACTTAACCCACTGTCTGCCTTTTCATGGCCTTCCTCTCCCTACATCTCCTTAAGTTACCACTGACCATACGACGATCTTGTCTGCTCTTACCTCACAAAACCACCCTTGTCCAGAACTATTATGTTTCATTCCATATCAAGAACAAAACAGCCCCGTTTAGTATATAAACCAAAACTTCAAAAACATACATGTTTGAAACATGCATGACAGAAAACCTGCTCTTCCATGTATGCAGTGTTTTAGTAACTGTTATTGCCGGTCTTCAAAGTTACAATGACATCTGGTAAGATTTAGAGGAAGAACTCTAATTAATATTAGTGAATAATCTTTTTTGCCCACTTTATCTATTTTCTAGAAATTACACCAAAATGCACCACTATTTTCCATACGGGAGCAATAATTTATATAAATTCCTAACCCCAAAATTTATCCGAAAAGAGATACACAAACCAAGCAAATGCTATATAAAAACTCTCTAATTAAAAACAGCATGGTTGAATTGGTTACTACTTTGGCAGAAGATTATAGCATTCAGCAAATGTTTTCACAGCCACAGCTAGCTTTCTGTTCAGATTTGTGATTCATAATCCAAGCTCTGCCTACCTTTTTTCAATCATTTTTGGTGTTTCCCGCTGTGAACCAATTTTTCTGGTGGCTTCCCGAATGCCATATGGTGCTACAAAGAAAATAAATACAAGACACAGATTGGTTTACATAACTCTGAAATTTTAGCGGCTACTACTGCATTAACAGCAAGAATTTTCTCCATAGTCTTAATATACAAACAGATATACATACATTCAAAGCCTACAATCCAACTGTTGAATCAACCAAATTGACTTCATTCAAGTACCCAAAGGAGCCCTGCTGTATTTAAAATCCTATTGATAGTTAAATAACCAGGTGTTCCCACACAGATTAGCCTATCCAGTCTGATGTACTACCCTATATCTGGTCACTGATAAATCCTTGACTTAGGAACTAACCCACAGAAGGCTATGCTACAATATGTTGGCTAATCTTTTAACACAACACAGAATTCTTAGCTAAAGAGATGAGACCTCTTTCTTCAAATCAACGTTCAGCTAACTGAATTTGATCCTACTGCCTAAGCTGGTTTTATCTGAACATAATACAAATCCATTTTTTTTAAAAAAAGAGGTTATTCAGTCAGCTGTGGCCTGACTGTCTTTGTCACTTGCTTTGGACATGTCAAGGGAATGACTGGGAAACAGGATGCAAGTATTTATAATGATAAAATTGTGATATTGCAAAGCAATTCTTCTTTTGCGCAACAGCTTTTTGGAGTCAGAACGTAGAGGAGGCACCCCATCTACTGGTATCCAGATCACTCAGCTCTCTTCATCTAATTGCTTTAATTAATTAACTCACCATTAAGATCCACCAAGCTTTAAAAATGATTGCTGGTCTGTCCCTGTGCTCCTCCCGCTCCTTAAAAAGAACTATTCTCTTGCTCATGCAGCTAGTTTAAAGTCTTGTTATACATGCAGCAGAACTGTGATGTGATTGTTTCTAGCTGGATAATATATGGGAGCGCTTACAAAGGTTCCATTAATCTCAACAAACTGAAACCAGTGAAATGTTATAAAAAGCTCAGTTGAATCAAGGACTAGTAGGCACTGTTTGTTAACTTTCATTTGATTCAACATTTAAACTGTACTTCTTTATAATTTATGTTTTAATAAGCCTAGTAAAAATGAATCGAAACTAAACTAGAAGAAAAAAGAAAACCACAATAAAAATTCAGAAAGTGCAGAAAGAAGAAAAGGAAACAAAGACAATAATAAAATGGCTTCCAACCTTCACCACACCAAGGTGCTATAGTAACTTTTCACCTTTTAAAAGTCACAAATAATAACTCTTCTCTCCTTAACTTTTATCCATACCCAATCCAGAAATCATCTTTTCAGTTCTGGTTCAGCAGAGTCCATTAGAAGTTACCAGAAATATCAAATACTTTATCCCTGAAATACCCCATGTTTGCATTTCTCTTTTTTGTTCTTCGTTAACATTAGCCTTTAAATCATTCCAATGGTATCACAAGATTTGATCTTTCACCAATCCTTGGCATTCAAGAGCAGCCTTCAAAGCTTTCACCAGCCTACTTTGTAAATTCCATAAAATGGCATCATCCAGGATTTCGTCCAGATCCTTTCCCCAATTTGTGGTTGGGCCCCACAAATATATTATTTAATATATTTAATATAGTTTTTTTTAAATCTTATCACAAAAATAACCAATATTTCAATCTCTCTGGTCTTCCAATCCACTTAAAACTTTCTTAAATCATTTTTTTTGCCAAATGTATATTTTTTTTAAAAAAAATCTGTTTAAAGTTTCCTAAATCCAAAAAAAGTAAAACTTATCAGCTGTCAAATTAAGCTTGCCATTTGAATGCCTGTGATAGCCATAAAGTGGTTAAATTGAACCCTTCTGACTGTTATTCAAAAGTGAGTTTAGCTGAATTAACGTCAGTTTTAGAAGTTCCAATTCTAGTGAGAACAAAGATTGTCCCCCTTGGCTCCTGGCACTCAAGCCTATGGGAGGCCATCACTTCAAACATCTGTGGGCAACCTCCCCTTTTCTCCTTCTCCAGAGAGCTTTCACAGCATTCGTGGTCTTAACGGGTTTTTTTAAAAAAAAAACATTTAATTCAGCATTTAAACTGTACAGTTTAATCGTTCACACTTCGACACTGTTGTAAAACTATTCTTACTTTACTTTACAGTAAGTTTAATATTTTAGTCCATTTCCATGTTTAAATATTATTTTATTTGTTTATTAGATTTACATGCCGCCCCTCTCCTCTAAATGCTGGATGATTATTAATATATTTGGCTGAAGGATATTTTAGGTTTTCCTGTAGTCTATGAAAAATATTTTGGGAAGTAATTCATGAGAGAATTTATTTTATATTAAAGCATAAATTTACACTTTTGCTCTGACAGAAGTGAACTCTTTTTCTCTAAATAGTGCTATAATTCATACCTTCTAAATATTGATTCATTAAAAAGTATGAATTCAAAGCAAGCATAAAAATGGGATTTTTTGTTACTTTTATGAAATTCACAATGGTTCAACGAGTAATAGAATTAAATATGTTCAATTTAAACCAAAAAAGGGACAACCCTAATTTTACATTATTTATCCCATGTAAATATTTAGTTGGTATGGTGTTAAATTCTGTGTTACTTTTCCAACCAAGTCACATTTCCTAGATTACATAACCATACATAGCAAAGAAGTATTTAAAATATTTAGCTTATTACTGGAGTTTTTATAACTAATCCCAACTAAAAAACAAGCTCAATAAGCAAAGGCAGGAAAACTTAAGCATATGGTATTACTCCAGAAACAAGACAATGCACCATATAACATATGTATAAACAATGCAGCATTCCATTAATATTTTTAAGCCATTAATAATTTATACTCATTGGAAATGGTCTTGACTTGGTCAGAAAAATAACACAGAATTTAATACCAACTAAAGGAGAAACCATCATATTTTGCAATGCACACCTAGAATTCCTATCTGTTTGCTTATGGAAATTCCATATGCAAGCATTACATTTGAAATTAAGATGCTTCACAAGTACTAACTTTACTTTTTTTGAAGGGGGGGGAATAATGAGAGCAAATGCTTATTTATTCATTCACAGAAATAAACTTGCATGCCAGTACTGTGATGTTTCCAAAATACTGAGGCATGTTTCTACTGGATTTACTATTACACAAAACAATGCATACTTGAGTTCAATAGTCCTGAAAAATATTAGCATATTTTAAAGGTCCAGATGTTCCTATTCTCATATTTCATCATATGCATCTATCTCTATAACAAGTTTATAGATATTTCCATTTTGTCAACCATCCCCATGGTCTGCATTCATGAATTATAGTTATTTCTGGTTTTGGATCTTCACTTACGGTCTGTAATGATTGCATCAAACTGCACTCCCTTCCTCCATATGGGTTTTGATGCATCAGAAACAAATATGTCAAGGTAGTATTTCTCCAAACCGTACTGGCGAAGGTTGGCTCTGATATTTTCATCAGGTCCTCTCCACTTTTGATTTTTTCTACTAGCTTTGCCTTAGAGTGATGAAGAAGGGGGGGGAATCATGGTGAGATTAAAATAATCCTCAATGTTTCTTTTGTCACTGCAATTCTTTTATATTCCATTCACCTAAATAACATTTGGTAAGAATATTTCTCTTCACCTTAAATTGATCGCAAGTGATACCACCTAATTCATAATCAAATAGTCACAACTCTTCAGTAAGTTCCAGAAGAAAACAAAAACTTGTATGGCAGCATTTCTTACAGGTAGCACTCAGGTTACATCCATTCTTACAACAGTGCTGAACAATGGAGACTTATGATTAGTCCTGAGGGTACCAATCATCACAATGAACCAACAGTCACATGACTGTGATCTGGACACTCCGTGCCTGACTTGCAATTATGAAGTTGCAGCGAGCTACAGTCATGTGATTGCGATTTCTGATTTCCCTTCTGCAAAGTCAATGGGAAGCCAGCACCAAATCAGAACTTGAGGTCAGGTGAAGTCATCACTTAACCACTTTCATAATCCTTGGTTAACTGGGACTGCCAGAAATAATGTTGTTAAACAACATCATCACATAACATCACATTTTAGGGCTCTATAGCTTGGTAATGGCAATTCTGGTCCCAATTGTCATTGTAAGCCAAGGACTACCTATTGTATATTTCATTTAAAATAACAGAAAAGCCGCTATTATACTTTACTATACTTTAGGATGACTTGAAATATTTAAACAAATAAAAAAGCGAAGTCAATTCCCATTTCCTCTTTTCAGGATTTCTGGAGAGTCCCAAAACCAGAATTCATCTCTTCTCTCTGATGAGACAGAAACATAGCAACTCTGGACAGTGTACCCTTTTTATTGTATCTCATGAGAAAAACCCACTATTATTGCTGGAAAAGAAAACAAATGATGACTACCTAAATCAACATATTGTAAGAAATAAATCCATGACTCTTAACTTATGGCTCAACTTATTTTATGCACACACCATAAGTTGATTGCATCTCCTAGATTTTTTAATAGTCAAACATCATTCCATTTTGCAAACAGCCACCTAAATTCGCATGTGACTGAAAAATTAATCTGAAGAAAGGCAGGCCTTTCCTTCAACAATCAGGAGTAAAATTCAATTGCATTTTCTTTTGACAGTTAAATTGTCTGTCTATCATAGCTCACCATGTGAGGCTGTAAGTAATTACTACTGTCTGATAAAAATTTCCTGGGTTCAGCAGCTGTTTTGGGACTACTATATCTTATATAATTAATTAATTTGTACTAGTGAATAATGAAAAGGACATACCCAACCCATGTACTATATTATAATCTATATCTGTGCCACAGACATATGCTCCGAAGTGCGCAGAAGCTATAAGAAGTCCACCTGCAAGCCAAAGAAAAGAAGCAAAATATACTCATTACACTTCACAAAATATTCCACAGTAGGGTGGAGCATGACTTCATAAAAATATTCCCAACATACTTGGAGTGCCTGAATATTTTGCCTTGTTTGTATGGCACAGACTAGGCTACTGTCATCATCACACAGAAATAATAATTTTTGACAATTGTTTTCAACAACCCTCAGGCCTTGAATGTTTGCTTCTTTGGCCAGAAGTCTCACCTTTTTTTCACCAGTGCAAATTGTTTTAAATATTAATATTTAAATTGTCTTCATAGCAAAATTGGATACACTATTGCTACTTAGTGTATATCTCATTATGAACCAATTTACATCATACAAAAAGTGCATCTCATACGTGTGACACAAGCGCCCTCTACTGCTTTGTTCAAGAAAAACAACTAACTGAAGGAATATCTGGAACCACATAAGAAATAGCATTGTTTAGACAACACAGCAATTTTTTAAAAGATCTATGGTGAACTTCAGTATAAAATCTGAAATTCGTTCAGAGCAAAGGGCACAGAAATAGCTTCCTTGGTCATACAAATCCTGAAGGGAATTTCTTCATACGTTTTAGTACAGGAAGAAGGTGCACTATCAAATAATTATAGTCTGTAAAGGAATCTAAAAATGACCTTGCGGAAGGTTTGAAACAGCCATTGAAAGCAAGAAGGAAGATATGACCTATTAAGGAGGAACTTGGAGAAGTTCCAGAAATGGAAGGAAGAATGAGAAAGAAACTCAAGATGACCTTGTCTTGATTTTCTTTAATACAGGATGGGTTGAAGGAAACTTGGAAGTAGCTTTCAAGAATTAATATTTGTGCCCTATATTATTTCTAGAATTCCAGCAATGTCTGTTTCTTGAACCTGAAGGGCTGACATCAATTTTGAAAGCCTCTCCAAGTATTTTCTTTATCCTGTCTTATACGAAGTTTATAAAATCAAGACAGGATTACCTTCAATCTCGGGACTGTGCAACCCTTTTTCAAAATCCCTTTTCCAAGTCCCTTTTCCATGGCTCATTCTTTAATTCACTTGTTAGCATTCACTTTTTCCTATCTGCCTCATTTCCAAATTCCTTTACATAAGGCCACCAGCTCCTGAGCTCTAAACATCTGTATTCCTTCCCAAAATATTCTATAAACCAGTTTTCTTCAGTCCAAATGAATGGGATTTCTGAGTGGTTACACTGGAATGAACCATAATGGGGCAATGTCATAGATATAAAACTATCCTTGTTTCTTTTTCCTACTGGATGAATCACTGCTTAGTCATCAAGCAGGTATTCTTGAACTATTTCCAGATATTATGACTCTTGCTGCAGTTTCTTCGAAGCCAATGACTTCTGATATCAACTGCAACAGGAACTGCATGAATAAAACAATTAAGCTGAATATTTTTTAGTAGTTGTAAATTCTAAGCAGTGATCTGGTATGGTTATAATGAAGTTTCAGAGCTAAAGATTAATATTAAAGTTTTTATAAAGAAGGCATGAGCCTAGGGAATAAATCACATTTAGATTACTAAGGATGTTGCATAAGCGTCTGTATAATTTCGTTTACCAGCAGGAAGGGAAATATGTGCCCAAGTACCCATTCTCTGTGATGCTTAACTCCCACTCACAATATGCTTCAGCCCTTCCATACTGGCTGGGCTGCTGGGGAATTGTTGTTTAGCAACATCTACAGTAGATAGGTCTGTAGAAACTGCATATTCCAAAAAGCAAATTCTTCTATCGAAAAACTTGGGAAATGGCCAGGTAAGTTTAGTGAAATAAAAAGAAAATATTAGCAAATAATAAATGTAAAACACTTCATGTCCTTTTTTTTACTTGATAAAGTTTGGATGACAGGAAAGAGAGGGGGATACCTGTTCCCACAAAAGGATCGAACACAATATTGTTTGGTTTTACTTTTCCATGGTTTGCCATGATAAAAGCCAAGCCGGAATGCATGCTCGTGTTCCCAATAAAATGTCTTTTTTTAACACTGTAGGATTCAATAAGGTCCCGTTGTCCATTGGCAACCTGTGGAGTACATGGTTGGGAAGGCAGTGAGAGAAAAAGAACAAGAAAGATTTATTTTGGTTACCAAGCACTTCTAAAAACAAACACAAAACGATTTTTAAAAAAACACAGGTGCATATATTTTATCACATTACCATGTTGTATATATAAAAAAACAGCACTCTTAATATGCTTTCCAATCCAGAATATTATTTTACTTTGCAAAACAATCGAGTTCAACTACTAATTTGAAAATTATAAAAGAAAGCACATATCTAAGCTTTTGTCAGCCGGATCTCCAGCATGGGTTTTCCCTTTGATGCTTGCTTGCTATCGGCTGCCATAGTAATGGGAAGGAGGGGGCATAGCATTGGGGTTTGGGAAGTGTGCTGGTGTGACGAAGGCCCAAGTGAACTAAAAGGGAGGTTTGCTCTCCAGAATTATTGTGCTGCTTAATGGAGTTGTTTACACCCAGTCAAGGCCAACCGTCCTAGAACTCCAGATAAACAAAAGCACCTGAAGATGTGCCCCACATGACACTATGTGGGACATGGATTGGACATTCACGCTGGGTCCCTGGGAGGAGGGATATGGGGAAACTTTCAGTATGTAACTTTTGCACCTTTTGGCTCAAATCTTGCTTTTCTTTCGCAGCTGTCATTTCAAACTCAGTAAAAGTACCTCTTCTCTAATTCAATGGGATTTCTTTCTTGGGTTTTGAACCGAGGCAGGCCTAACAACTTTAACAATTCTGAGACACATGAGTTAGGAGCTGACGTCGTGACGACATGACGTGCGATCTTGGAGCTCCAAGATCGCAGTCGATACTCTTGCCGCTGGACAGTCCTTTTGGACCTAAACCGTTCCGAAGAGACGGTGACAGGGAAGAGTACGTCCTGCTGATCATAGGAAACTGCAAAGTCCCTGATTGATCCAGGAAAATTCTCTTTTTGCCGGAGACAGAAGCGCAGCCATTGAAGCTATTGAAGTTGGGACAGCTCCGGAATGGGAAGAAAACGGAAAGAGAAAGTGTG